TAGCCACTCATTAGTTGAAAGATGAAGAACAAAAATATGCACCAGACAATGCTCTGATGGAAGAATCCCGGTTATCCTTTCTTGACGGCGGACTTACGCTCGGCATCTTTTTTAAGCAATTTCTGAGACTGCCGAACCCCAGAAAGGCTCTTCACGACATCGAGCTCCTCAGATTTATAGGAAAGGATGTAGACGCGAGGGATCGTACCGATTAATCATGTTTGACATATAGGCGATTAAGAAGTTGACATAATTAGAACAGAACTCTATGATTGTATTCGTTATTCGTCCATCATTCGTCGCGTTGGTTAAAACTATCGGCGCGCGAAAACAGCGTTTGCGTTTATCGAAGTCAAAATAATTTTATGGGTTTACTAAAAAAAAAGTCTGATAATAACAATCTAAATGAGAGTTATTAAAGCTTGGTGAAACAATTTTAATAAAATGTTTGATTAAAAAAATCAACAAACCATCTTCACTTTTCTAAATATTATCTTACTTTTCTAATTATTACCAAAATAGTTAATTATTATTATTATTATCAAAGAATTGGAAAAAATAAGGGCAGTAGGAGTCAGGCGCAGAAGACGTCGCGCAAATAATACACTTATAAAGAGTGAAACTTCTTTATTCACTAAACGCGCTTACACGTTTCGACTCATTTTTGAGCCTCCCTCTCAGAGCAAACAAACATTAACATATATAAAGTAAAAGTTATCCTGTCATGGTGAGCTCCCGTAAATTTAACGATCGATCTTATTAAGTGTATTGAGAAAGTAATATTTATAAATTGCCTAAAGATGAGCGGATTTCGATCTCAAACCACTCACTTCCTGTGTTAAATAACTTAGCTTCTTGTTCCTTACATTGCACGGAAGTAGAAAGGAGTTTGTTACAGTTAGCGAAAGGTACTGGGATTTTTTTAGGGATATGAACGATAGGGTGATTTTTACTCGCGCGGATAAGGGGAATGTGACGGTAGCATTGGATAGACGAATGTATATTTCCAAGGTAAATGAAATGTTTCAAGATGTCAATACTTATGAGGTAGTTGTAAGGGATCCGACGAGGCGAATGGTTACGGGCTTACGCGCTTTATTAGTTAGGTGGAAGGAAAAGAAGTATATGTCTGATTCCCCATATAGAGGTTTGTTATGTAATGACCAGGGAATGGAAGTAACTCGTTACTTGTAACGAAGTTACAGTTACAAGTTACTTTTTTGGTAACTTTACTAGTAACTGCGTTATTTTTTTTCTTTGGTAACTGTAACGGTAACGAAGTTACATTTTTTTGGTA